GTCCCCCCCCGGCCCCGGAATGTTCCATAAAAACGGGTTTATTGACATTTCGGCCCCCGGCAGAGCCACGGCAGGGACACCGCCCTTCCCTGGGCCGGGGTCCCCCCGTGTCCCCCCCACCGGCGCTCAGCCGGGGGTTCGGCCACCCCAGAGCCACGGGCGGGAGAACGGGCCGGAATCCTGTGGGGGTCCCCCCCGATGGGACCCCCGGGGCATCCCGGTGCTCAGGATGCGGCACTGGCAAACACCAGGTCCCCGGGCACATCCTGGCACATCGCAGTGCCCAGGACTCACCGCCGGCAGCGGCTGGAGCCACCGGCATGTCCTGGCACATCCCGGCACATCCCGGTGCTCGGGGTGCGGGGCTGGAAGCCGCCAAAGTCCTTGGCACCCCCTGACACATCCCAGTGGAGGGTGCCAAGGATGCAGCACTGGCAGTCACAGGGAACCAGGCACATCCCAGTGCTCAGGTTGCACCACTGGCAGCTACCAGGTCCCTGGTATGTCCCAGTGCCAGGACTCACCACTGGCAGCCCTCAGAGCCCCTGCCATCTCCCAGCACATCCTGGTACTCAGGATGCACTGCTGGAAGCCACAGAACCTCCTGGCACATCCTGGCACATCCCAGTGCCCAGGATTCAGCACTTGGCATCTGCTGGAGACTCTGGCACCTCCTGGTACTGAGGACACATCACCGGCAGCCGTAAGGACCCCTGGCATATCCCAGTGCTCGGGATGCACTACTGGCAGCCACTGGAACCCCTGGCACCTCCCAGTGCTCAGGATGTGGCACTGGCAGCCACTGGAACCCCTGGCACCTCCCAGCACATCCCAGCGCTCAGGATGTGGCACTGGCAGCCACCAGGCCCCCTGGCACATCCTGGCACTCAGGGGCAGAGAGTGGTGGGCTCTGGCCAGCCCAGCTGGGGCCCGGCGATGCCAGTGCCAGTCCCTGTGCCCATCCCAGCGCTGGCGGCGGTGCCGGTCCCCGTGCCAGCGGTGCCCGTCCCGGTGCCAGCGCGGCTGTGGGTGCGCTCGTGGCGCTCCAGGTGAGTCTTGCGGGTGAAGCCGCGGCCGCAGCGGGCGCAGTGGTGGGGCCGCAGCCCGGTGTGCACGGCCTCGTGCCGGCCCAGGTTGGTCTTGGAGCTGAAGCGGCGCCCGCAGCGGGCACAGGCGTGGGGCCGGGTGCCCGTGTGCACCAGCAGGTGCCGCGCCAGGTGCGCCTTGCGCCCGAAACCACGCCCGCACTGCGGGCAGGAGAAGGGGCGCTGGGCGGGGGGCGCCTGCGGGGCGGGCTGGGGGTCCTGGGCGGGGGGCACCTGGGACACGTGCTGGGGGAAGGGGTGCTCAGTGCCGGGCATCTGCGACAGGCGCTGGGGGTCCTGGACACCGGGCACCTGTGGGGGCTGCAGGAGGTGCTGGGGGTCCCGGGCACCGGGCACCTGTGGTGGGTGCTGGGGGTCCTGGGCACAGCCGTGGCCACACTCGGCACAGCCCAGGGGTCGGTTCTCCAGGTGCTGCCACAGGTGTGGCACCGGGCTCTGCTTCCAGCCGAGGCTCGTCCCGCACTGGGGGCAAGGGAGGGGCTTCTCCTCGGCGGGGACATCCCCGTCCTCATCCCGGTGCCCATCCAGGTGTCCGTTCCCGTCCCCCGGCGCCGGCCCCGTGTGCAGCCGCGGGTGCGACGCCGGGCTCTGCTTCCAGGCGAGGCCCGTCTCGCACCCCGGGCAGGGCGGCGGCTTCTCCTCGGGGGGCACCTCCCCGTGCCCGTGCCCCTGGGCGGGCTCCCCGTGCAGGCGCAGGTGGCGCAGGAGGTGCTGGCGGTGGGCGAAGCGGCGGGCGCAGCGCGGGCAGGGGTGCGGCCGCTCCCCGGTGTGGGTGCGCAGGTGCCGGTCCAGGTGGGTTTTCTTGCGGAAGCGGCGGGCGCAGCGCGGGCAGGGGTAGGGCCGCTCCCCGGTGTGCGTGCGCAGGTGGGAGCGCAGGTGGATGCGCTGGCGGAAGCGGCGCCCGCAGTGGGGGCAGGGGAAGGGGCGCTCGCCCGTGTGCACCCGCAGGTGCCGCGTCAGGTGCGCCTTCTTCCCGAAGGCCTTCCCGCACTGCGAGCAGGAGAAGGGCCGCGGGGCGGGCTGGGAGCGCCGCTCGTGCCCCACGGGGACGGGGCTCATCCCGGGGCACATCCCGATCCCGGGGCCGATCTCGATCCTGGCGCCGAAGCCGATCCCGATCCCGGAGCCGTCCAGGCGCTGCCCCAGCCCCCAGGTTGGCAGCACCCCGTACCCCAGCTCCTCCGGGCACGGCTCCTCCGCTTTGCAGGCGCCGGCGATTCCCGGCGTCCCGGCGGGATCGGGGGGGACGGCGCCGGGAAGGGGCTGCGGAGTCAGTGGGGCCTCGGCTCCGGCCGCCCAGGCCTCGTCCTCCTCCTCCTCCTCCACCTTCACCTTCCGCACCAGCCAGTGCCCTGCGGGGACACGTGGGGAGACATGCCAGGGATGGGATGTCCCGGCACGGCCACCAGCACTGGGACACGGTGACCGTCACCCCAAGGACTTAGAGCTGCCACTGGCCCACAGACACAGTGACTGTCACCCAAGGACCTGGAGCTGCCACTGGGACACAGTGACCATCAAGGCCAGTGGCACCAGGGACACAGTGACCACCACCCAAGGACCCAGCACTGCCACCAGCCCCAGGACAGGGTGACAGTGACCGTGTGGCCCCAGTGTTCCCAGGGGACCCCGGGCAGTGCCGGTGTCACAGCCGTGTTCCTCACCTGAGCCGTGGAGCTCCGGGTCCTCCAGGTTGTCCCCATCACCTTCAGGGGTCACCTCCACCTTGGGGACCACTGGCCACACTGGGGGGACAAGGGGCACAGCCAGGTCTCCCCCCTGCTCCAGGGCAGCCCCAAGTACCCCGGGACCACCCTGGTGCCCACCTGACACCCCCCAGGACCCCGGTGCTCACCTGAGCTGGCACATCCTGGTGCCTCCATCTCCTCCAGCTCCACCTTGGCCACGGCGGGACCTTTGGGGGGGGGGGGGGGGTAGCACCGGGTGAGACCCCTAGACCCGAACTGGGGATCCCCCTGAACCCCCCCTCAGGGGGTTGGGATCCCCGGGATGCCCAGGACCCCCAGCACATACCCAGGGCACAGTGGGGGTCGACGCTGTCCTGCATGGTGGGTCCAGGGGGTTCAAGGAGGGTTCGTGGGGGTCCGGGGGGTCCCGTGGGGTGCGGGGTCCGGGGGTCCTGTGGGGTGCGGGGGTCCGGCGCTCAGCAGGGCTGGGGATGGGCAAGAGCCGTGGGCTCGCTCGGGGGGCCAGGGGTCCCGGGGAGACCCCAGCCAAGGGATGGGGATCCGGGGGCGTGCAGGGGGTCCCCACCAGCCCTGACCCCTCCCAGCAAAGAGGGGAAGTCTCGGGCCCCCCTATCCCGGGGACACGCCCGGGGGTCCCCCACCGGGGGGGTTTCCCCGTCCTGGTTCCCCCCAGCAGCTCACAGCCCCCCCGCCCCTTCTCCGACCCGCGCGGCCCCCCCGGAACCCCACCCAAACCACCCCCGCCCCTTCGGTCCCCCCGCCACTGTCCCCCAGCCTCCTCAGTCCCCCTCAGTCCCCACCGAAGCCTTTTTGTCCCCCACTGTCACCCCCACGCCCTTCCCGTCCCCGCCCCCCCATCCTGCACCATCCCCCCGGTCCCCCTCGCCCTTCCTGCACCGACCCCCCCCGGTTCCGGTCGCGGCCCTGATCCCGATCCCAGCCCCGACCCCGATCCCAGTCCCGATCCCGGTCCCGGTCCCGGTCCCCCCGTACCCGTGGCCTCGGGGCACCCCCGGCCCCACCGGCTCCG